TTGCTTTTTTTTTTATCAATTTACACACTTTACAATCTTGATCATATTATAAGTGTAACTAACTAAGTGTATAAAAAGAAGGAGCATTCAACATATTAATTCATATCAATGCTAAAAACCAAATGCAATTAGTGTGTATCTAATGTCAACATTTAAGTCAATATAATGTTCTAGGATATTAAAGAAGACCCAATAATAAAACATGAATAACAATTAGGTACTTAATCATACATTATTAATAAAAATTGTTTATTTTATGCAAATAAGTTATATCAAGCTGGCATCTGAAATGAAAAAGTGTTTCCCCACCATTTTGGGGTCATTTACAAATTTGTATAAATTATATAACAAATTTTAGTATCAGTTTTGAATGTCTAAGATAAAAATTATGAATGTAGATGCTGGAGTATGTTACACTCTCATCCGAAATGAAAAAGTGTTTTTCCACCCTTTAAGGGAGTGTAAAAATTTTCAAAATGCATTTACAAATTTGTACAAATTATATAACAAATTTTGGTACTGGTTTTGAGTAGTTATTTTAATCTGCGGATGCCAGCGTAACTCACCTCATCACAACACAACCTTTATACTTATTCATTGATGTATGAATAAATATAATTATTTAGTAAATATAAATAACCATAGTTCATTAATTATATATTAAATATATAAAAGTTAATATACATTAACTAAAATCTTTTTAAATTATTTTATTTGTCATATAAATCAAAATTACAATAATACAGTAAACCCTCAATTAGGGGTTGGGATCAAACTGAATAGAACCGGAATTGTGGAACCTTAATCTTTAAAGGACCCCTTTATTCAAATGTCCTATATATTGCTCTACAATTGTAATAAATAATGTTATATTCAACGTTAAAATGCATGTTATATATTTTTTTTCCTTATTAATAAAAAAAAAAAAAATTGAAACTAGCTAATACATTTTTTAACAGAAACCTTAATTTTAAATTTTCAAATACCAGAACTGAAATTTTATATTTTTAAAAAACCCTTAAAATTATAGAAGTTCCAGTCTTTGCCCTCAACAATATTAATGGTGAATAATTTTTTATAATTATTAAACTTTTTATAAGTTAAAAAAACTAGCAAAATTGTATTATTATTAGCTAAGTCTATTGATCAATATCAATAACATTATAATAGGTAACAATAGGTGTATGAATAACGAAATTAATAGTAATGATAACAATAAATCTAGAAATAAGACTATTTTTGAAAATATTGATAAATTTAACATAGTAAATTAAATATTATTAAAATTTCAAAAATTATTTATTAATAATAATATTAATAGTTAACTAATAAACTTATTTTTGATTGTAGGCATTAAATAAGAAAATGTTGTTAAAAATATAAATATAAAATGTAAATAATACAGTTATGTTTTTTAGGCACAATCATGATAGAGCTATTAGAAAACGAGATATGACTAAGTGTTATAACCAACGTGAAGTAACAAGAAAACGAGACAGACATACAGGATTACATAATGTCAACTATGTTCTAAAAAAAAAACATGAATTGCTCATTGATGGTGTATCTTCTATAGTATTAAATATTAATTTAAAATGTAATAAAACCTTAACTCCTTGGTGCTTATGTTCAGAATATAGTGTAAAAAATACAAAAAATTTGAAAAAAGAGTAATTAAATCTTATATTTAAATTTAGGTTGAATTAAAGATAAAATTTTATTATTTAATTTTTAAAATGTTATTATTGCTCATATAGTACAAATTTATATTTTATAGTTTTGAATGTCAAATTACTCCAATTTATTATTAAAGTTAAATATTTTGTAATATATCTCTTTTGATTAAAATGTTTAGTTCAAAATAATTCTGAGTATTATAAAAATGTCTACTTTATACTAGTGACTATTTAAAAAAATAAAATATGGAATTCACATTCTCTATTTTCACAAAATTATACTTCATAATTACTTATGTGATGAGTCATCACTGATGACATAATATATATAATAGTGATCATTAATTTATGTATAGTAGTCAAAGTAGAATACATGAATATTATTTTGTAGTACCTAAGTAATCAATTTCACTAACCTACCATAAATATAAATTCAAGAATACATATTAAAATATTTTGTTTTTAAAAATTTAAATAAAATAAAATATAATATAGATTATACATATTTATAGTTTATGTAATCTGTGATAAAAACATGATATAATCTTTAAAATGTATCTATAAGACACTTAAAAATATGAGGCTTATAATATCCTAAGTATAAGTAGGTTAGCAAATAATTATAATTAGTAATTAATAACTAAGCTATGTACATTCTAGGTTTTTTTTTTTATGTTGTTAATTTATTTTTCATTAATATCATTATTAATATTTTATGAGTTGTACTGAATTACAGTAAATAGTTGTGAACGTATTTATATATATATATATATATATATATATTAATATTACATTTTTTGTGTAAACCAATTAATTTATTATAATTTATTTTAATAAGTCAATTTGTAAAATTAAATGTTATAATTTTGTTGATTTTTGATCTCATTCAGCTTAATTAGCCATAACAATTTTGTTACCTATTTAATAATAAATATGTTCATAAAAATGTTACATTTGTATATTTTTTTCAAAAATTATTTTATTTATTTTTTATTTCTACATATTTACATAAAATACTATTTTCTTTATCATAATTAATCATTGCTGAAATTCAAGAACTAATAAAAATATTTTTTTTCTTTTTCACATAGTTCTAAAAGAAGAGATAAAATATAATTTTTCAATTGAAAATTGTAATTTGTGTCTATTAAAAGTTAAGTTATGACACATAATGACAATGATTGACATAATTAATTAGTGTTAAAAAAAAAAATACTTTAAAAATAACTTTATAACTCCAAAAATGATTAGTTTAAAACTTTTTTTTAAATTCCTGGCTTAAACTGTTGGGTACTTAGAAGTGTTAAGTTTAAGTTTAAACAAAATACATCATAGTCCACAAAGTTATAAATATATCATGATTTTATAGAATACATATTTTTATATAAAATAAAAAATAATATATTTATTATATGAGTACTTACTGTGTTCACTTATATAAAGTTTTAAACTATATTTGTATTATATAGATAACTGAGATTATGACTATAGTGTAGATTGAGTACAGTAAGGTTTGTTAAAGAGTATTTCTCCCAAACTGACATCAGATATAATATTTATAATAAAAATTATTGTATGAAAATGAAACTGTAAAATAAATAATAATGGAAAAATAATATGACCTAAACAATTTTATCTCATTAAAAAATCATTAAATTACCACTGCTATCTAAGAATTACTAACGAGACACAG